ATCTACGCACTGGGGATCTAGGAATGAACAGAACCAACAAAACTCCTTGCTCTCCTGGAGCTTAAGTTTTACTTAGGAGAGAAATGAGAAACAAGATAAGGAAAATATGTACTTAATCAGATATAGTAAGTGCTACAAAAAATAACCCTGAATTTGAAATGTTGCAGAGTGGGTGTGTAAATACTAGGCGGGGATGCAAGGAAGGGTCTTTGGAGTCAGTCTTTGAAGAATGACCTGAGCAAATTCAGCCAGGAAGTCCTCTGGAGGAAGAGTCTTCAGGAAGAGGGAATAGCCGTGTGAAGGTCCTGAGGCAGGAGCGTGTCTGGAGGATTAGAGGACCGTAAAGGGGACCAGTATGGCTGGAGTGGGGAGAAGGGGCAGGGAAGTCATTGGAGACGTCAGAGAGGTCAGCCCTGTATCTAGAAGCCAGATAAAGATGGGCTTCCAGGACACAGAAAGGGCTTTGGCTTACACTCCGAGCCCTCAGAGTGTAAGCAGGAGAGGGAACCCTTAGTGAAGTGAGGGCGTTGGGTGGGATGACCTTGGAGGTCCTTTCTGGTTAGTCTATGATGCAGGGTCTCCATTTGGGATGGAGATGTCTTTCTTCACAGCGTTAGTGTCTGGGAATGTGTGTGTGTGTGTGTGTGTGTGTGTGTGTGATGGGGGTATTTCTGGCTGAGGTCTCCACTCTTGAGACCACTGACATTTTTGGACGGGTAACTAGACTGGGACTAAAGGCCCATCTAGCCCCAAGATTTAGGAACCTCTCCAAGTGCCCAACCTGGGGAATGTCTGCTTGGCGCTCTGGGCCGTGAGCACGCAGGTTTCCACTTGGGAATGTGTGACTAGGCCTGGTCTTGTGAGAAGCTGGGTCCCCGGGCAGGTGGGCCCCTGCCTCGTGGGGATGGGACGAGGAGCCTGGAGGCAGGGCTGCCTGCTGGGGGGGGTGGCCCCCCAGGACAGATCTCAGCCCAGTCAGACAACCCCCTCCAGGCCTGCCTGTCTCTATTTCTAGAGTGTTTTCCAGCCCGGGCAGCTCTGAGGGGTGTCATGAGTCACCCCCTCAGGGCAGGAAGCTTTGCTAAGGAGGGACAGAGTGGTGGGTGTCATCTGACCAGAGCCAAGGGTCAGTGTCTGGGGCCAGACCAGCACCTGCCAGACCCTGCTTTTCAGTGTCTGTGTTGGCATGGCCGAGCAGGGCGACCCACAAGGAAGGGACCTGAGGACGATCCTGTGGTCCCAGTGAGCCACACAGACTGCTTATTTTTTTTTCTTTCTCTGTGGCCACTTATATTTTATTTTTTTTATTGGAGCATAGTTGCTTTACAATATTGTGTTAGTTTATACTGTACAGCAAAGTGAATCAGCTATACGTATACATATATCCCCTCTATTTTGGATTTCCTTCCCATTTAGGTCACCACGGAGCACTGAGCAGAGTTCCCTGTGCTGTACAGTAGGTTCTCATTGGCTGTCTGTTTTATACATAGTATCAATAGTGTATATGTGTCAATCCCAATCTCCCAGTTCATCCCCCCGCCGCCCCACTTCCCCCTTGGTCAGAGGCCTTGCTCCAGGTCCTGTCAGGGGCCTCAGCGGCCAGGGAACAGGGTCTTGGCTGAGCCAGGGCAGGGGCTGCTCTGCCTTCCTGCTCCCATGGTTGGCTCCTGGCTCCAGCTGGGAGGCCGGCCCTGCATACCTGCCTTCCCACTGGAAGTGCTGTCTTCCGTCCTCCCCGCGCTGTGGCACCAACCAGCACCCCTCAGAGGCCTCGCTAAGCTGCTGGTATCTCCTGCTGGGCCGCTGGGGGGATCTGACATCATAGCCTCAGGTAAGTCACTGGGGGCTAAGTGGGGGTTCCCAGCTGAGGAAGGGCGGGTCACACACCGGCTCCCTCTCCCAGCCCCAGCGGCTCCCCATCTCTGCCCAGGTCCCGGGGTGACACAGGAGGCTGCAGCTGGTGCCCCGGGCCATGGCCTGGACACATTCCCTCCTCACCCAGGGCAGCTTCCAAGGACCTGCTGCAGTTCTGCCCAGTCCCAGGGGATTCCTAGCTGGAGAACAAGCCCTCAAGGCAGGATCATCAGGGCTAAGGCCTGACTGGGCTGGAGCAGTGAGGTGTCGCTGAGTAAAGGCCCCGGGGGGACCCACACGTGCCCCTGAGTGTCTCCCTCAGCCGCCTCAGGGGCAGGTGGAGAGCAAGGGCTCTGATTCCACGGGCTGTGGCCCCGGCCAGTGCCGTCCTGGCTCCTGGTGACCTTTGCAGACACCTGGGGCTGCACGGGGGCTGCTGGCTGTGGCATCTCTCCCCAGTGCTCTGCCGTCCCACTCCCACTGTTTGCTGTGGTTCACAGCTTCCCCCTTCCTCAGGTCACCTTGGAGGTCAGAGAACCTCCCCCACTCTCACGTGGATCCTGGCCCAGCCTGCCCCGGCAAGCAGGCGGGCAGGCACGAGATGAGGGCTCCCTTGCTAGTGCCTCCTCCCTGCCTTTGTCTCTTCCTGCCCGTGGGCTCGGCTCGGGTGTGGAGGGAGAGAGGGCCACTCTTCCCATCCAGGCCCTGGGTCACTAGCACCTCATAACTTTCTCTTCCACTGAGGACACAGCCAGCAGCTCCTGCCATGGACAGGTGGTACCTGGGTGAGTCCGCTGAACCCCATCCCCCCACCTTCTCAGACTCTGACGCAGGTGTCCACCCCATCACTTTCAAGTGCACCCCCAGCTCCCCAGGAGTACAGGAAAAGCAGGAACAAGGAGAGGCGGGATTTCTAGACAAGGGCATCTCGGTATGGGTCCTGGGCGTGCCGTCATCTCTGCTCCCAGCATCTCTGAACTGCAAGAGCTGGGAAGGCAACTTGTGCAACAGCCCCCTTTCTGTCTGTGTGTCCATCTGTGTGTCTGTCCACCTGCAGGAACTCTGAAGCCAGACTGCTGGGTTCAGAGCTTGGTTCCCCCACTTCGTAGCTGCCTGACCTCTGGCAAGTTATTTTACTTCTCTGTACCTCAGTTTCTTCATCTATAAAATGGGGATGATAATAATGCCTTCCTTGCCTTATAGAGTTGCTGTGATGATTACATGAGTTAACTTTTGTAAAGTATTTAGAACGGTGCCTTGCATATAGAGTTAAAAACGTAGCTACTGATTTATTTCTCTTGTCTTCTATCATCTATCTATCATCTATCTATCTATCAACTTTCTACCTATTTTTATACTCCAGAAAGAATCCACAGTGGCTTACAAAGATAGACAAAATGTACTAAGATACCAAGATAATGTATAATAAGGAGGTACCAGTGTCTGTGTGGAGGGCCCCAGGAGTTTTGGGAGTACAGCCATGGGGGCTTTCTAGCTCTGGTTTTGTCCCTGACTGGGTGTTTCAGGCAAATCCCTCAACCTCCCTGCCCTCAGTCTTCCTGGGCTGCCCAGTGGGGATCATGGCGCTGCCCTGGCCACCTTCAGGGTCATTGTGGAGTCAATGACCAGCTCAGTTTCTTTATCTGTGGAATGGAGCAAACGTGCATTCGGCAGGAAAATGCGTGCAAGAACTTGACACACACTCAGCCCCTACCAAAGGTTAGCTCTGTTGTATTTTCATGAATATTCATCACTTGGCCCTGAAAGCAGAAGAGCTGAATGGGTGTCTCGGCTCCTGGTCTGCAGGCCGTGACATTTCCTCTTTCCATGCCGTGACATTTCCTCTTTCCATCTCACCCTCATGTTCATTTTGCTGGAAGGTGGTTGGCTTTTCTGGGTCTGACAGTGTATGACAGTAACAATAATGACACTTACTGTGTACCAGGCCCCCTGCCACACCCTTTACTGCATTATCTCACTTTCTCCTCATCACAACCCATTCTACAGATGAGGAGACTGAGGCACACAGAGGTTAAGTAACTTGACACAGGCCATATACTGAGCAAGTGGAGGAGGCAGGAAGTGAACTCAAACCTTGATCCCACTGCCACTGCTCCAGGAAGATTAATAGATGGAGTCCTTTTGAAGGACTAACCCACCCCTGATGGACACTGACTGCTGACCTTGGCCCTTTGGCTACAATTGAGCATCAGCCTCTACTGGAAGCCAATTCGATTGATTAGAACTCAGCTAGGAATGTGAGCATCCATGGGATACCCAGCGCTGCGGTCCCCAAGGTGAGTGGGGTCACAGTAGAGGGGGGAGGAGGCCTTGGAAGTGTGGGAAATTAACTGATTCCTAAAGCTGAGGGTGTGGCTCTCAGTCTCCACCTTGCCTCTCACCGCTGTGTGCCCTTGAGCCAGGGCCCTACCCTCTCTGTGCCTCAGATGACTCATCTGTAAAATGGGGAAATAACACAAAGTGCAAGGAACTAATAGGAACGTGTTTTGCAAATCATGAAAACAAGTCGCTCTCCCTGTGGCAGGGCTTGGTCCCTCCCGAGGGAGCCTACCGTGTAACGGTGGGAAACTGGCACGGAAGCTGTGCTTCACGGCTGGAGAAGGAGAGTGCCGGAGGCTGCAGGAGACGAGGGGTTGGTTAGGGATGACACTGACTGAGGTGTGAGCTGTTAGATGCAGCCTGGATGGATGAAGAAGATAACAGAGGAAAGGGCGTTCCCAGGCAGCGAAGGCCTGGAGGTGTGAACGTGCATGGGGGGCTCAGGTGGGCTGTGAGGCGGGAGGGGCCGGGTACCCTGGGACCACCGCAGAGGAGCCTTGAGTGCCAGACAAGACCCATCAGCCGAAACAGCGATCTCCATAGCGGTGGGTGAGGTGGGCAGCTGCTAGGGTCAGGGGTCTCCATGGGACCCTCGACCTTGCCCCCCAGGCTGTAGTATACACGGAATATATTTCGAAACTCCCACTTCCCTATTGTCACAGCCCCAGCCGTGACCTCTCGGGCTGGGGGAAGGACACCACGGCTGCTCTGTCCCCGGCACTTCTCTGGAAATTTCCTTGGGGAGGGTTTGGAAAGCCAGCCAACTCCTCCCTGCCCCTGCTGCCCCTGCGCCTCCTCATGCCTCAGCAGGAGCCCCACTACCCACAGCAGGGCCTTTCTTGTGACCAGGGTAAATATTACCTGGCACTGTTAATGTTTAATGTCCCCCCCATCCCTGGCCACCCCACAGCCAGGCACTCTCCCCGAAGCAGAGGCCGCGGGAAGAGGGCAGTGGGACGTGCCCGTCTGAGGGGGGACATGGCAGGATTGTCGACAGATGACGGTGAGTGTGTGTGTGCATGTAAAACATTAGGTGCCTCGGACCATCTTTGGAGGGTGAGCAGGACCCCACTCTTCTGTCTCCTGGCACCCCTGCCTTCCAAGAGTACCCACCGCCCCTGCCTCATCCCGTGCCAGCCTTCCCGCTAAGAAAATATGCTTTTAAAAGAGGATCCTGCCTTAACTCCAAAGAAATCTAGCTTGAATGGTGGAACCTTGGGCGCCAAGTAGGAGCTGCTGGGGTGGGGGGAGTGGTGAGCTTCTATCTTGACTTTCTGGCATGCATCCGTCCTGGTTCCATGTATCTTTGGGACTATCTAAGCTCAGAGCAGCAGGCAGATGGGGGTCAGGCTGGCTGGGGCAGGAGTGGGCCCCTCTGCTCAGCCTTTTCAGGCTGGCTTTGGGGTGAGCGCCCCCAAGTTCAGGACACGCGCCCAGAAGTCATCCTGCGAACGAGGGTGATCAGGCCTAGAATCCAGTGGGCCTTCTGTTGTCTGTGGTGGTCTTAGAGCCAGATCTAGAAAAGATGAGGCCTTTGGGTGAGGGCTGGCTCATCCAGTGGCTCAAGATGCGGTGGTCAGGGAGGAGACGGGTTCCTGGTATGGCGAGGGGAGCTGTGAGTTTGCTCATGGCTCTGACACTAACGCCCCATGTGACCTTGAACAAGACCTGAACCGAATCTGGGGAGACAACTTCAGAGGTCTTCTGCATGGTGATGGGTGCCTGGGCCCCCCATAGGCTCCCTTGGCCTCAGGCCCTACAGGCCCAGGAGCAGACCCCCTCTAGCCTGTTCTCTCCTGGCCTAGGGCGGGTGTACCGCCAGGACAGCTGGGCTCACCAGGCCCCACGGCCCAGGCACAGTTCAGCACAGTCTGGGAGGTGCCGACTGGTGCGTTCCTTTGACCTTGGGCACTGCTGCCCTAGTGCCAAGAAGGGGCTCAAGTAGGGCAGAGAAAAGGGGCCACCCCTAGCCGTGGCAGAAAAGCTCTGGCCAGGTGCCCTCCAGATGCCCAACAGTGAGTGTGCTCAGTTTACAGGGCCGGAAGCAGAGCCATGATACCTGCTCGGGGCTGGAGACTGGACCAAACCACTTGGCCTTGAAATGTCTCCTTCCTCCTGACCATGTGCCAGGCAGCCCAGCAAAGGGGTTAAGCACCTAGATTCTTAACAACCAATTGCCTGGGTTCATTCCCAGCTCGACCCTTTTCTAGCTGTGTGACTGTGGGTGAGTTGCTTTGCCCCTCTGTGCCTCCATCTTCTCATGGATTATATTGGAAGAATATTAATGCCTCATAGGGTTGTTACAGTGGTTAAATGAGCTACTGCTTTGTTAGCCTCAGCCTGGCACATGGTAAGCACAATATATTAATGCTTCTGAAATAAATTTGCTTCCTCCTGAGGATAGCAACGTAGGAGAGAAGAATCTAGAAACATGGGTCCAAGACTCAGGTCTGCCTCCAACTTTTATTGGGACTTTAGACAAGTCTTCAAACTGGGCCTCAGTTTCCTCCTTCTGTTCAGTGAACGTTAAGTTTCTATTTATTTATTTATTCATCCGTTCACTTCACAAATATTTGCCAAGTACCTTGTAGTTGATTAGTTATATGGAGAGAGGTTGCTGGTGAGTCTTATGGGAGATGCCTCTGTTGGTCTTTTCTTACTTTTGTATGAAGCAAGGGAAGGAAGGAACCAGCCCCTCCCAGAGGTGCCAGAGGCCTCCACAGGCATCGTGGGTCCCTGCTTTGGAGGCACAGTATCTGGTCCCAAGCCGATGGTTGGGAGCTGCCTAGGACAGTGGGGACTCACCAGCCCCCACTCGTGGATGTCTCTCCACCAGCCTCGCCTGGCACCCTTGGACCCCTAGGGTGCTGGGATGGGAAGGATGGGAGTTCCACAGTTTCTGTGGCTGAAACACACCACCGTCGGTGACTCACCCTTCACCCACTTCTGGCTCTCTCCTCAGGTGGCAGCCCCAAGGAGGACGTGGACCCATTCTCCTATGGTGAGCCTGGTGGGCCCCTCCTCCGCACCCTTCCTGAGCCCCCCCCCACTCATGTAACCCCGGTTCCTGGCCTCTCCCAGGCCTGGGTTATGTGTCCCCCACCTTTGCCAGTTACTGTAGGGCTGCTGCCAGGTTGGCTGCAGGGAGGGGTCTGGGATCACTCATCCCACTTCCTTGCCCTCTCCTCCCTCAGACTATGAGACTGTCCGCAACGGGGGCCTGATCTTCGCTGCCCTGGCCTTCATCGTGGGGCTTATCATCATCCTCAGTAAGTGGGGCCTTCGTGTGGGAAGTGGGGCGCTGATGGGGACACATCACTGAGCGCACTGGCTGCGGGGTGGCGGGGGAGAGCCCTCTCGCCCCCTTCCCAGATCCAGGAAGGGGGAAGTGAGTTTCTCGGATCCCCTCCCCTCCCCCACGCAGGGGGATGGCCACCTTGATGGAAAGAGGAGTCTTGGATGCCCCATTGCTTGGTCCTCAGACCACCCAGGAGGTTCCTTCTTCCTCCAGGGAGCCCTCCAGTGGATGCTGGGGGGAAGGCCGTGGAGATGGGAGAGCTGGCTTCCAGCGGCCCAGGGAAGCTCCAGTGCACTTGGAGCCAGGCGAAGGGAGGAAACCAGCCTCCACTGGACACCCCCTCCCCCAGATCTGGACGCTTTCTTGGCTTGAGCTACATCTCGGCCCATTTAATCCTCTTGGCAACACTGAGGGATGGCCACCAATGTCACCATTTTGCAGATGAAAAACCAGGCCCACCCTGATAGGTGCAGCAAGCTGCCTGAGGTTCCGTAGCTGAATTGAAAGCAGAGCGGGTTCAGCCGCAAGCCCCCCCCACACCCCGCCAACCCCCTGCCTGCTGCCGGAAGGCAACCGTGCCTGGCAGCCAGAGGCCTTAGGCGTCCCTGTTAGTTTACCATGGATCCTCTACTCTCTGGGCCTCAGTTTGCTTATCTGTTAAATGGGGATGATCCCACTTGCCTCAGAAGGTTAGGGCTGGCAGCCAAAGACACAGCAGCCAAGAAAGCACTCAGAAGGATCCAGCGTAGGCATGGGGCATTCTAGGGGAGAAAAGGGTCCTGGCTCCAGCCCCAGCCCCAGCAGGCACACAGCAGGAGCCTTGTTCAGGTGCAACCAGAAGAAACATACACAGAAACACACCAATGAAAGGAAGAGAGAGAATGTAGCAGATACACCTCTGTGTCCTGCGATCCTAACACATCCATGGGTGGTGCCCCCCTCCTGACGGCTGCGCTTTGCAGACGTGGCCAGTCTCCCCGATTCCCCTGGAGGCTCCCTGGTGGCAGTGTTGAGCACGTAGGAGGTGGAAGGCAGATGGGCAGGAGCAGGGGTCTTGGCTCTGGACTTCCTGCCATTCTTCTCCAAGAGCTTACTGAGCAGCCTCTGCATGCCCAGCACCACACAGGGGGCACCACAATGGCCCAGGCTCAGCACCACTCTCAGGGCGCTCACAGCCCCCCCACGGAGCCACTGCAGTGAGTGTTTGTTGACTGACCAATTGACTGACTTGGGCTTCGGATTGCTTATGGTGCAGCCCTATATATAGAGAGAGACAGTCAACTGTGGCCTCCAAGGCAGACACCAAGCGGTACAGGCAGGTGGGAGGGAGGAGGGAATACAGAGCCGAGTCCTCCAGGGCAGAGAGGGTCTCCTTGGAAAACTAACCTCCTGTCTCTCTTTAAGGCAGACGATTCCGCTGCGGGGGCAGGAAGAAGCACCGGTACGTGCCTGCCTGGGTGACTGATGGGGTGGGCGGGGCGGGGGCGGGAGGAGCAGGTTGAGGAGTTTGGTCACTGAGGCCTGTGAGGAGGGTCTACAACTTCAGGGACCCCTGAACTCACCGCCCCCCTAACTTACCTGTCTGCTTTCCTCCATCCCAGGCAAGTTCACGAAGATGAGCTGTAATGAGAGGTAGGTTTGCGAGGGGCAGGCAAGGGGGTGGCCGGGGATGGCTGTGGGTAATAAGGAAGAGGTGGGGACGAGCTGGGAAGGACGTCAGGGTCTTTCATCCATCAGCCGGGCGTCTGTCACCCTCATATGTTTTTAAATGATGGCCAAGTGCCTGGCGTGGCACGTGTAGCCAAGGGAGGCTGCCGAGACATGCCAGGGAGAGGTAAGATGAATAAGGAACGAAATGAGAGTCCCGACCTCTGCCCCCTCACAGCCCCAATCCTCTCTTTGTCTTTGCAGAGCCAGTCGTGTCCACCATTGCACCGGGGCCGCTTGGGAAGCCCTCCCTGAGCTATAGGTCTTTGTACCCGGGACTGCCAGGCCCTCGGGCTGAAGGAAGCCCTGGGCTCCGCATGACCCCTGGGTGGGCATCGCCTCCTCCCACCCCGTGCTGATAATAAAGCCGGCCTCAGAGATGGCTCCTTCCCTGGCCTGCATCCCTCCCTCCTTCTCTCCTGTAACTGCCACCATCCGTTCCTCCAGGTCGGAGTCCATACAGCCCGGTCCCTTGTTTTTCAATTATTCGCTCAGGTGCCCATGCCTACTTAAGCAAGAAGTTCAGTACCATCCCCTCTAGGACTTTCCTAGCGATGCCAAGGACCCCAGGGACAGAGGGCTCAGCCTGCCTTCCAAATGCCAGGCAAAGAGAAAGCCGGGAAGGTGAAGGTCACAGGTTCAAAGCCGCTGGGTCTGTTGGAGCTGCCTGATCATCGACCCAGGCCCTGGGTAGGGCTGTTGGAGCTCTCCAGTGGGAGAAGCTGCAGCCATGCCCTGGGCTGCCAGCGTTGTAGCTGTTTGTGGCCATATTATGTGCTCTGCCATTTCCCCAGGTGCACCAACGTGCCAGGGTGGGTGGGTCTAGGGGTCCGGGCGGGGGCCTCAGCACACGCTCTCTTCCTATCCCCTTCCTGACCCTGGTGCTAAGCTCCGGCCACCCCTTTTCCACTTGTGGGGCCAGGGGGCCTCAGCTGGACCTAACCTCATCCACCTATTTGGGTGCTGACTTGGTTAACCCCAGGGCCAGGGGCCAGAAAGTGGACGGTGAGGGTGGGCCCCTTGTTAACCTTTTCCTCCAGCCCCCTGTCCGCTCTGGCAGGCACTCACCCAGGACAGCTTCAACCCAGGATGGTGTCAGGCCGGCCCTGCCGCCAGCGCCTGACTTCCTGTTGCCTGGGGCCCCCTGGCAGCCCAGCACGCTGCTCCCCTTGGGCAGTTTCTGTGCCCTGGAAGGAGCCCCTCTTCCCTCTCTCTCCCTTCCCTGCAGAGGCCTCTGCGAGAGGCTGGACGGGATGGTGGGATCATGGCACCACCTAGTGTCCAGTTTACTCATCTGGGTCCTGGAGCAGCCAGGGAAGGAGGCGGGACTGGCCTGGGAACCCAAGACAGCAGCAAGTTGGCACAGTTTAAAGCAAACAGGGAGGGCGTGTTTGCAGACCAGAGGCAGGGTAGGCAGCATTCTGCTTGAGAATTGAGCTCTTTGTCATAATCCGCTCCTGCCTGGACCACCAGCCCTCGCAGACTCGCAGAATGCTTGAGCACCAAAGGCCCCTAAAGAATAAAATGAACAATCCTCAATTTTCAGCAAGGGAAACTGAGGTCCCGAGAAAGGCAGTGACTTGTCCGGGCGACCCTGCCAGCCTGTGTCGGAGCCAGAGCTACAACCCAGGTCTCTGGCCCCCCCACTTCAGAGTCCTTCTCACTGACCCCGTGGGTTGGGAGGAGAAGCTCCAGGGAGACACAGAGGGGAAAGCCTGATTCTTACAACTCAGAGCTAAGGTCTTTGTGACACCCTGCTCCGAATGTGGGCTCACCCATGACAAATAAATCCTGAGAGGCCAAACCCTTAAATAGAATTCAGTATTTCCATACACAAGACACTGGAGCCATCCACGACAGTGAGAGAAATGAACGGGAATGGGGCAGGTCCAGCCAGCGGGGCTTTTGGGAGGAGGGGTCTCCTGAAGCTTCTTGGATGTAGCAGCAAGGTGAATGAGAAGAGGGGTATTCCAGGCCTGCGGCCTGCCTGAGGAGAAGTAAGCGCCTTGGAGAGGAGTCACATTTCTACAAGGTTCCATACACAGGCCCTGAGCTGCCAACCCAGAGGGCAATTCCAGCTGCTTTGGAGGGAAATGGTCCTGAGTGAGTCATTTCCGCCTCTGCCCCTGCTGCAAGCCCTCTGTCCTTGTGAACCGTGAGGCTCCACTGGGTTCCAGACTGTCACCCTGCAGAACCTGGGGTGCTGTTCAAAGCACTAGCTACCCAGCATCCCCTCCAGAACTATCAAATATTAACCTTGGGATGGGCCCATGCCAGGTGATGCTTAACCAGCTCCCAGGAGAGCAGCCATTGTGAAAACCACAGATCCAGGTGACATTCGGAGCCCCTCATCAACACTTTCCCTTCCCACTCCATTAAGGTCACGTTGACTGGGAGCTACTGAACTTTCACTTTACTTTGGGATTTTCCACAATTCATACACAGATTAAGTCACAAATAACAACCAAGGCTGGGAAGTGATCGAATGAATTAACTTTTAATCACACAGCAGCAACAAAAGCAGCCTTAGTCTGAGGGGATGCAATTCCCTTTGTCACCACCAGATGGAGCATGTGTCTTACTCCAAATCCCTTTCAAACAGGCTTTCAACTCAGTCTAAGGGCCGGTGGAACCTTTGCTGGGAGGAGGGGACTCCCGGTCTGCCAGGGGCTCTGGTTTCCCAGGAAAGCCCTGAGCTCTTCTCATTCCGTCTGCACACCCCTCAGGTGTATCACTTGCCCTGCTCTGGGATAATTCTTGGCTGTGGGATCTCGAGCCCTCACTCCTGGAAGGGAGAGACCCTCTGTGATCTGCACATCTTCCTCACCTTAGGGTGATTATGAGACCTTCGCCCACATAGTTTGAGTTAATCAACGTCATGAGCAGGACCCAGAGAGAGGTGGGTAAGGAGAGGGCGGCCCCAAGACCCCCCAGCCGCCGCCCGCAGCAACGCCACTGGTCCTATCTCACCCAAGGGAGTGGGCGCGCTGAGCTGAAGAGGGGCCCAGGGCAGAGGTGGGTGCTGAGCCTTCCCCCAGGCCCTCCTCCCACTCATCCCTGCTGGAGAGATTAATGGCCTCCCTGTTGATCCGCGGCCCCAGGCAGCTGAGGTCTGAACTGCAATTCAGCAGGGCCTCCGGGCGGCAGTGACCCGCTCCTTGCCAGGCGTTCGTTCTTCATCGTCCTCCTGACGTACACTCGGCCAGGGGAGATCAGAGGCCAATGCCGTGGCCGCCCAGCCTTGTCCTGTCCTCGCAGTGAGTCCCTGGCTGGGAAGATGGATCGGGCCTGGGCCTTGGAGCCGGGACCACAGCAGTCCCACTGCAGGGCCTTGGGAGGGCAGCGCGGAGCCCGGGGCTGGGCTGGGAGAGCCAGCGTGGCGCCCGAGTGAGCCAGCCTTAGAAGAAACGCTCCCCTTGGCCTCGGTGTCCCCCTCCCACACTGGGGACACTCAATGTCGTCTGCAGTTGAGTGACTGAGGGCTTGGGAAGAAACCCTGTTTAGAACTTGGGACCTTGGTGCCCCTGACCTCAGCTTGACACTGGGGGTTGGGGGGACCTAAGGAGGCGGCCGCAGAAAGCAGGGTGAGGGGTTTTCCCAGGTATGGAAGGGCCTCCTACCTGAAAGGCACTCGAACCCACTGCATGCAGGGGTGGTGGCTCCCCAGGCTCTGACTCAGCAGCTTATTTGGGGGGCTTATTAGGCTGCCTGCCCTGAACCTGCGTGATCCCCCAAGCCCCCTCCCCAGGCCCTGGGGCGGTCTGGCTGCTTTTGGTCTCCAGAGCTCTTAAACTCGGTTCCCTTTCCAAGAAATTCTCTGTTGCTTCCCTGAAGGCCTTCCTTGGTGTCACCAACAGGAATTCCCCAGGTGAGGTGGTGAGGCGGGCGTAGAAGACGGGCAGCTCCGGGCGGGGGCAGCAGCTCGAGGCCCCGGAGCCTCGCCTGCAGCTCAGTGCCATCCATGCTGCGGACGGTAGGGAACTGGCATCACTGCCAGCTTTGCCTTCAGCTCGCTGTGTGGCCGTGAGATGGCCCTCGGCTGCCTCTGGACTTGGCTTTGGGAAAAGCAAACACAGGACAAAAATCCCAGGTGTTGGCTTCAAAGCCAAGGGGTTCTGGGAAGGGATAAGTGGGGACCTGTAGCTGGTCCCCTTGTTACCTGCTGCCCCCAGAAGAGCAGCGCTCAGGGAGGCTGGGTGTGCGCGCACGCGCGCACACACACACACACAAATATACACTCGCTCCCTCCTAGTAGTTAAAACAGAGGCGCCCAGCAAGTAATGAAGGCAGACAAAAAGACACACTTGACAAAGCAAAGGAGATGAGGCTGGCCTGGCCCAGGGCCAGGAGCGTGTTGAATTCTCTCGTGGTCTTTGTTTCCTGAAAGGCCTATCAATCAGTAACACAGCTGTGCCAACCCAGCCTGCACGGGAGCTGAGTGCCCACCACCCCTGCCGAAGTAAGTAATATTTCAGGTCTCGTGTCCGTGGACCATCTGCTCCTGACGCAGTGACTCACATCATCCCGGAGTGGCCTCAGCCCTCAGACGCCCTCCTCCCAGGGGACCTGCTGGGGGCCCCATAACTCCTGGCATTCTGACCGTCCCTTTATGTCTGTCTGCACGGCCTACAAGCCGCATGAGGGCTGGGGTGGCGTCTGATGGTTTACCCAGCAATCCCCAGCGCCTCGCCCATCCGAGCATGTGCTCAAAAAATGTTTATTGTTGACCGAGCACATGACTGGCTGGCCAGAGGAATGAATGAGTGATTACCCACAGCTGGACCTACCACAGCCCTGCTTCTCAGGGGGCAGGGAGAGCTGCTGGGCGTTGCAGTCTGGGCAGGTAGCTGGGTAGTGTGTCTGCCGGGTGGAGCTCATGGAGCGTGGACGGGGAGGGGGCTACCAGGGGTCTGTCCCAGTGACAGTCGGCATTTTGTCCCTGGCATCACAGTTAAGATCAGCGGCTTTGGAATCAGCCGGCCCAGATGTGAGCCCTGGCTTGGCCAGCTGTGGACTATGGGACTGTGGGCAAGTCCCCCCTGAGCCTCAGTTTCCTGAAATGGAGAAACAATGTCTGACTCGTGGAGTTCCTGCTCCTGACCAGTCCTCGGTGACCAGTGGCTGCTGTGATTACTTTCTCGAATGTTCTCCCAGTGCTGACACTGGATGCTGCTGTCTTTCCCTGGACCCCTGCAGGCATCCCAGCCCTTGACCATAATGTTTTACCATCCAGTGCATTCTTCTCAGGACACTGTTCACGGCCAGGAGGCAGGGGCTCCTGAGTCCACCCTCAGCCCCAGACCCTCCTCAGCACCCTTTGGGCCACAGTGGGGACTTGGTCTGGCCCATCCTGGGAGGCCCCGCCCCCTGGGCCCTCTGCCAGCTTGGCTATGGGC